ATAGAGCAAGGTGGCTTTGAAGGACTTTTTATTTCTTTTTTTTAAAAAAGATGACAAACATAGGATTAGCTAGACTGCTGGTGAGCTTTTCCAGCCTAGTGTCTTCTTATTGGTATGGGGTGATCATTGTCATCTGGTAGAAGCCACCACGATGTCATGGTATGCATGGCATCATCGCACAAAGGATATAAATGCCATAATTGTATCATTCAGGGATGGTGTTATAATGTGTGTGTCTCGTGCGTCATCCCCCAAAAGATACATCATTGTGTCATTCCTTGATGATGTTATGGTGTATGTGACATTCCTTGCCACAAGGGATAAAAAAAAAAAGATAGAGACAGAGATAGAGATAGAAATAGAGAGATAGAGAAATAGAGAGTCAAGACAACTGACCTCGTTGCAAGACCTGTGGCAGCTACATGCCTCTGTGTTTCTACTTGCCTTTAGAGTAAGGGGGGGAGGTGTTACTTCCGAGTGGGAGAAATGAAACTTCTACAATTCTGCTGAAGACCATGAGAGCCTGAAACCTTTTCAAGGACATGATAAGAGGTGTGAATTTGAAGCAGATGGTTCCAATAACAAAGTGAACTTGTTGCTGTGGACTTCGTAAGATTTTGGGGTTTGGCTGGGGAAATTATTGTTTAAGTCTATGATTTTGTGTTGGAACCTCAGAGTTAGTTTTGCTTCGACATTACCATGCAGTGTATTTAATAAGCAGCAAGAGTTTCGAAGATGCAATAAACCTGGAGTTTTATTTGGATTCTTGAGCTGGATGTTGACAAATAGAGAGAATAAATATAGAAATAGATATAGATAAGATAGATAGATAGATAGATAGATAGATAGATAGATAGATAGATAGATAGATAGATAGATAGATAGATAGATAGACTGAAATAGAACTAGAGCTAGATAGAGTCCCCCAAGTATTTGCTGCCAATTTGGTTATTTAATCAATTAGGCATGCTTGAAAGCCATAATCAGCATTTCCCCTCTTTTGCTGGAGAAAGATTCAGTCACACTGGTTTCCAAGAATCAAAGTTGCAGTCATATATTTACATAAATAATTAAAACTCCAGAAGCACAGTAGGTAATAAAAATATATTGCCACAATAAAATATGAAAGCAAAGAGCATTGCTTTAATTAAAAATTACCACTGTAGTGCAGTAAACAACTTATTTGTATTTGGTTCTGAAGTCAAAACTATTCTAATCTCTGAACTTGTTGAGCCTGAAGTGGAACAACATACCTTGAAGGATCTTTCCACCGAGATAAATTCTTGAAGCCGGTAAATATGTTTAATTAAGACTTACTGTTAATAATGGATTTTTCAGAATTAGGCTGTTCTTTAATTTCCCAGGGTAGAAACTGTTATTGCATTTGGCCTTGAAGTTCTCTCTCTCTCTCTCACACACACACACACACAAATATCAAAAAGTTTTGATTAGAATTTCAGAGTTGGCAAACAGGCAGGCAAAATTAAAGTCTTCGCTCTGATGCAATCTAGGATTAAGAAATCAGAGTTCAGGATTAACTGTTAGTCTGGATTAAAAGGTGAAATTATAAATGATTTGTGCCATGCCAGTGTTGCTTTCTTTTGCCTTGTTTTAAGAAAAATAGCATCTACAACAATAAATTGGAATTAAGATTAATTTAACTGAGTCCCAATTCTATTTCAACAACAGATGCCAATTCTTTATTTAGCTCAGGAAGCTGGAAAAATTGCAACTGACACTGACTATTTTGTCATGCTCCTTAGGACAATGCATCTTGAACTTGGAATCAAACTTATTTTGCAGTTAAACTAGAAACACAACACTACAAGCGAATATGCATGAACGAAACAATTGTCTTGTCAATACCTCCACCAACACTGACAGGGCAAGCCACTATTATATTACATGAGAGCAAACCCCACCCCCCACCCCTACTCGCACTGATGATGTTACCTAGTTGGGTCATGAAACGTCTGCAAGAAAACAATCAAGCTCAGAGAGCACCAAGGACCCCCTCATTTCTACCCTGAGCTACAAATATTCTCTTTTATCATTCTCAATTTCTTTCATATTCCCACCACTTCCATCCTGTCCGATTCTACTCGTGACCTGAGCAACTTTATTCCCTTGGAAATGGGATCTGTCCAAGCCTCCTGAACTTGTTTTTCATATTGCAGTCATTGCTGCGTTCTCAGCCCGAGGTAAGCAAAACATCATCTCTGGGGAACAAACGGGAAAAGTCTCGTTCCAATCTTAGTGGTAAAAGCTGGTTTAAGCAATGTCACAATCCCTGAGATGTTTCTTTCAGCTGCCGTCCTGATTGTTATTCAAGGTGGCTAACCCTATGCAGGTTTCAACTCATAGTACATAGCCAAGGAGATTTCTGCCGTGCTCCCCGGCTGGGCAAAATGACTTGCAAAGCTAATGAGCATTCCTGATTTTCCACTACTACCGGCTGTTATTTTGCATTTGCAATCTAATCGTGAAAAAAGGGTGGGTGGAGAAAAAACGAGAGAGAATGAGATGAAGATCTGAAATTGGTAACAGCTTTAGAATGATAAAGAGACGAGATGGCGCAGTGGTTAGAATGCAGCATTGCAGGCTAATTCTGCTGACTGTCGACTGCCTGCAGTTCGATCCTAACCAGCTGAAGGTTGACTCAGCCTTCCATCCTTCCGAAGTCGGTAAAATAAGGATCCAGATTGTTGGGGGGCAATGTGCAGACTCTGTTAACTGCTTAGAGAGGGCTGTAAAGCACTGTGAAGTGGTATATAAGTCTAAGGGCTATTGCTCTTCCTTTCCCCCCCTCCCTCCCTCCCTCCATGCGCACTGGTTAGAATGCACTATTGCAGCTAATTCCACCAGGAGTTCAATCCTGACCAGCTCAAGGTTGACTCAGCCTTCCATCCTTCTCAGGTTGGTAAAACGTGGACCCAGATTGTCAGGGACAATATGCTGACTCTGTAAACTGCTTAGAGAGGGCTGTAAAGCACTATGGAGCAGTATATAAGTCTAAGTGCTATTGCTATAGCTAAGTGCTATAATCAGGGCCTATTGATCAGGTTCCATTCCTCTCCCCTTCTTCTTAACCCATGTCATGTCTCTCCCACATTCTCTTCCGGGTGCAAAAGATGAAACACTGAAAATAATTAAAGGACCTCATCAAAGTAGCTCTCCTGAAGACAGGTGCACCTGTCAATAATGCTCCCACCATATTTCCTAATCAAAAGGCCAGGAACAGTGGGAGCTAAAATATTCTTGTTTCATACGATCTAGGTTTTCAATTATTCATCTAAGAAGAAGGTATACGGTGTACCTTACATATGTAATATATACATAGACATAGGCATTTGTGTGGCCTGCTATATGTGTATAGACACATAAATGTGTACAGGTAATCCTTGACCTACAACCATTCATTTAGCAATCCTTCAAAGTTACAACAGCATTATAAAAGTGACTTATGACGGGTCTTCACTCTTATGACTATGGCAGCATCTCCAGGGTCACGTGAACAAAATTCGGACACTTGATAGTAGACCTGTATTTATGAAGGTTGCAGTGTCCTGGGGTCATGTGATTATCATCTCTGACCTTCCCAACTAGCTTCTGACAAGCAAAATCAATGGTGGAAGCCAGGTTTGTTTAACAATCAAATGATTCGCTGAACAATGCAGTGATTACCTTAACAACTCTAGCAAAAACAGTTGTAAAATGGGGCCTAATTCAGTCAACACTGCCTTGCTTAGCAATGGAAACCCTGGTCTCCCGCCTCCCTATACAAGGGAACGATGCTTGTTAAGAGCAAAACTCATACTTATTCCTGACGCAGGAGATTCAAGTATTCCTATTTAAATTTAAGTAGGCAAAAGGAACTCTAATTAGCCCTATTAACCTTTCTCCTCTTGCAGACTGAATGCTCCAATTTACTGATGTTCTCATTTGCATTAGTTCTCCTATTTTATCTATTTGATAAAATGACAGGACTATTGTTTTTTTCTTTTCTTGTTTGGTTTAAGGCAGAGGTCCCCAACCTCTTGGGCACCAGGGACCGATTCCGTGGAGAGAGATTTTTCCACGGACCAGAGGGTACGTGGTTTTGTGTGCTGCCTGCATCCCGCGGATGGGGCTTTGCTTGTTTGTGTGGCCCGGTTGCTGGCATGCCGCGGCCCGGTACTGGTCTACAGACTGGGGGTTGGGGACCCCCGGTTTAAGGCACAGGTAGTCCTCAACTTATAACTATTTGTTTAGTGACCATCTGAAGTTACAACAGTGCTAGAATAAGTGACTTACAGCTGGTCCTCACACTTAAAACTGTCTCCATGCCCTCATCGTCACATGACTAAAATTCAAGTGCTTGGCAAACTGGAATGCATTTATGACAGTTGTGGTATCCTGGGGTCATTGAAACATGACAGCAGTGTTCCAGTATTTGGGGGGCTGCCACAAAGAAGAGGGGAGCAAACTATTTGCCAAAGCACCAGAAGGCAAGACAAGAAGCAACGGATGGAAACTAATCAAGGAGAGAAGCAACCTAGAATTAAGAATAAGTTTCCTGATATTATAACAATTAATCAGTGGAACAATTTGCCTCCAGAAGTTGTGAGTGCTCCAACACTGGAGGTTTTTAAGAAGAGACTGGACAGCCACTTGTCTGAAATGGTATAGGGTTTCCTGCTTGAGCAGGGGGTTGGACTAGATGACCTCCAAGGTCCCTTCCAACTCTATTATTCTACAGTATGCTTTATAGGTTCTATATCAATTTTCAGCCTTTAGTTTGCAAGCATTTGTTGATTCGCAAATCATAGAATCATGGTGTGTATTTCAGCAATTTCCATATCTGTTATTATCTATATCTCTTGATATCTATCTTAAACCATTTTGCTTTTGAAATTGTTTAAGACACGGGACTTTGCTATTTGGGATGGATTTTGCAGTTTCAGGAAAAAAAATTCAAGTAGTAGTAGTTGTAAAAGGGGGTTCCAAAATCTTCTACTCACCTTATAGTTTGATGCTGCAAAGTGTCTGGATCAGTGGCATTAACTGTTAAGACAATACTTCCAACAGGGATGTTCTCTTGTTTGGTGACAACCATTGGGTTAGGGTGGAAAATGGGCCCCTCATTCACATCTAGAACTGTGATCTGAACAGTTGCTGTGGAGCTGGTGTCATATAGGACATCTGGAACCAAGAGATCTTCATTTTCTACTTTGATCAGCAGCGTGTGGAAGGCTGAGATCTCATAATCCAAAGGCTGAAAGACAAGAACATATAGCATTGTCCACATCCAGTATATTAAAAGCTTGCATCACAAGATAGTCTTACTTAATGGGTCTTGTGGCAATCTAGACACTATAGTATAAGCTTTTATGGACCCTAATCCACTTCATCAGTTACATGGAGTGAAACCACAAAGAAAGAGACATTTAGGTGCAGGTAGTCCTAAAGACCTTTTTTAAGTGAACATTACAATGGTGCTGAAAACAGTGACTTATAAGCAGTCCTCACATTTGTGATGGTCATACTCAACACATCTAAGAGAACATCGCTTGGAGAAGTCTGGCCCAGAAGAGTAAAGGACAACATATGAAATTAGGTTCACAGTTTCATTGCTAAAAGTTGGTGCCTTGCTCCCTTACCTTGACAACTGACAACATCCCTTCATTGTTTTCTGCATTTGTGTGGATTTTGAAGCTCTGGGCTGGATTGCCGTTGATGATGGTGTAAACCGCCTTCCATGCAGCTGTGGCTGGATCATCTCGGTCTTCAACGGTTAGATTCACAATCACACCAGTGCTGCCTTCTTTGACGGTGGCTTGGAACTCAAAATTAAGAAAGAAAGAATGTTAGTACCATTAAACAAATCATCACCACCATTAAAATAAATCTGTATAAGGTGTTAAGAGTCATGGTGGCACAATGGTTAGAATGCAGTATTGCAGGCTAATTCTGCTGACTGTCTGCAGTTCGATTCTGACCGGCTCAAGGTTTAGTTAGTCTTCCATCCTTCCAAGGTTGGTAAAATGAGGACCCAGATTGTCGGGGGGCAAGATGCTGACTCTGTAAACCGCTCAGAGAGGGCTGTAAAGCATTGTGAAGTGGTATATAAGTCTAAGTGCAATTGCTATTGCTATTGATTATTCAAAGCACCCCAAAAGTAGGATATGATGATATTCCAGAGAAAAGCTGAAATTCTACAGCTAACAAAGAGCACATCCCTGCTTTTCAAAGATTACTGAGAAAGAAAAGCGTGACTGAAACTTGCTTTGAAAACTCCAGCAAGCAATCTGTTTCTCTTCTATAAATATAGAAATTCAGTATGAAGAATATAAAGCTACAGTGCTTGAGAATGCAATTGTCAGGAATAAAAATATATTCAATGCATTTAAAATAGGGTGTTTTAAAGGTAATCTACATTAAACTGTTCTTTTGTGGGTTTGTGTGTGTTATAATGTGTCTTTTCTTCTTTTTGACCCCTGTGGATGAGGGGTCTTCTGTAATGAAATGAAGGGAAATTATCTCAATGTTGATTTCCCATAACATCATATCCACTTTCTATTTCTCTTTCTATTTAAAATACTCCTTCAGGTTACACTAAAATTTTATGGGGAAAGATAATACTGGAACTACTAAAGGCAATGTTTTTCAACCTTGGCAACTTTAAGAGGTGTGGACTTTATTTCCCAGAATTCCCCAGCTAGCTTGTTTGCTAGACAGTTCTGGGAGCTGAAGTCTACACATCTAAAGTCATCAAGGTTGAGAAACTCTGATTTAAGGGATAGCTAGTAAGGTGAATGGATTAGCCAAGATTCAATCTGAATCCAGGTTTTGAAGGTGGCAACATCTACTGTAAATTTGAGATTTAAGGAAAGACTTGACCATAGGCCATGTAAGGGGAAAGAATCCGAGTAACTACAACTACTTCACTTTCTAGTTGAATGGGATGAAAACAACAGGAATGGTCTACCCTTTAGAAGATATTAAAACCTGCACAGTTCCATCCAGGTGATTGAAGGGGTTTCACAGCAATATATTTTTTCCAATATCTCCCCTCCACCTGCTTACAGGCGGAGAAAGCAGAAATGAGAAAACGATAGCACAACAGAACCAAATTGTCAAGAAAAAAAAAATCTATAATGAAACAGTGCTAAACTAATGTAAAAGGAGTTTAAAAATAACCTGAATTGCTGGATCTTGTTCCTGTTTTTAATTGCATTTTGTGATTTGAAATTTTGTTGCAACCTCCTTGGGGGTTTTCATTTGCTAATAATATAAATAAAGTATAAAGTAACATCATCACCCTTTGATCAGGAGTGAGTTTTCAGGATTTTTATTATCAGTTGGTATCAAGTCCTTTTTCCTTGCAAATATAGTTTAGCAACTATGTTCCACCATTAGAATTAAAGATTTTTTTTGGAGCAAGGAATATCTGGAATATTCAAAGAAGGAAAAGCTCCTGATTCAGATTACCACCTGGATATTAAGGCTGGGGCATGCTTTGAAAATGATTTTTAAAAGGCATTTGGAATGCATAAGAGAGTGAGCAAAACATCTCTTTAAAGCAGACGTGTCTTTTCCCAGGCTTCTAAACAAGCTTGGAAAAAAAAGATGTGGTTGCTTTAAAAAGCCAAGTCATTAAAGTTATCATGTCTCTCTATGTTATTGCAGCTGAGTCTGTTTACATAGATTGGATCACATGGACTCCCTGCCTCAAAATGCCACGCAAACCTCAGCACAGAACAGGTGCTTTCTAGTTCCCAAGTTGCAAAAAGTGGTTAGACTGAATTGAGTCAACTCTCCAGTGACATTAGAGATGATTAGATTACGCATTAATTGATTGTATTAATCTTTAATATCTACACATCCCAAAGCACCACAAACTCTGGAGGATAAAATAGATGAGGCCAGATACGTATTTAACCCTTTGCCATCAAGAACTGTCAAAAACCGGTCATTCAGCAACAGAACATCCCAGGTCCAAACCCTCAGAAGATTTTTAACTGGGTCACTGAATGTGTACTTGCTCACTTGTCAACCGAGAAGTTCTTTCTGTCAAGATGTG